CCCTCGGGGACTGGCTGCATGCTCGGCCCCGGCGTCTCGTCCGCGCTCTGGCCACCGCCGGGGTCGGGCTTCCTGTCGTGGGTTGGCGAGGCTGTGGGGAGAAGAGACGAGAGGCCCGGGAGGCCATCAGAGGAGAAGCCCAGCGGGAGGGGAGTCTGGGAAGGGAGCGGAGGCCAGGGAAGCCGTCCAGGGAAGCCGTCCAGGGAGGAGAGGAGAGGAGGCCAGGGAAGCCGTCCAGGGAGGAGAGGAGGGGAGGCTAAGAGAGAGGAGAGGCCGGAAGGGGAGAAAAAAGGAAAGGGCTCCGAGAGAGACTAGGCGGGGTGAGGAGATGGGGTGACAAGGGAGACTTAAGCACCTGCGAGAGGAGAAATAGGGAGGTGAGGAGACCTGGAAATGAAGGAAAGAGAACTTGGAGGCCGCCCTGTGGCAAGGGGCGGGAAACCTCCCTCAGCTTCGCACAGGTTTTCTAGGCCCCAAGGAATGAGATGAGGGTCTTGCCCTCTAAGAATGGGACCAACCAAGAGAATTTTTCTCACCCCATGAGGAATCAGAGACCTTGATGGGAACATTTCATTTTAAGGAACTTTTTCAAATCTATAGGTTTTTTAATTACCACAGCCAATTTTTTTCTAGTACTACATATTTCTGGCAAGTATTGTTAAAAAACGAACTGTTTTTGCCCTTTCTTTAATATGTATATAAACATCCGCCTTTTTGCTATTTACAGTTTGTTGAGAAAGTACCAAGAGCAAACCCCAGGGGGAAAGTGCTAATATTACAGGTTCTCCTAATTGTTTAAGCGCCCCTGACAACAGAACTATTTGGTTTTCCCATCCGTGTTTACACTGTCATCTTGGTCCCCGCAGAATCGAGCATTTGTGAGTGAATTTATCTGGCTTCTTGGACACAGCTTACTGGTAAACTGCAGCTAAGAAAGGTTTTTAAAGTTTGGCTGGGAGGCAGAGGCCCCTGGTTAAGTATAAAAACACCCATCACTTAGGTTTTTTTCCCCTTTGAGGGCGGAGATAAAGCTCCTAAAAGATATGGTTTAAAAACAAATAAATATAATAAACATATAATATGTGTATAAATTATTTTCCCCAACTCTCAGGTTGGGGAGCAAACGAGCCAGCTTAGAAGCTGGGCAGCTTTTCCTGCCCAGTAACGCAGTATCACCTCCCCAACTGGCTGGGTCCCAGTTCCCGCCAAACAGGCACAAGAATTCATCTTTTTCTGTCCTTTTATTCGATTTTTTTTGACATTTCTCTCCGCTTGCACTGAAGAGCTTGGTCCACCCTTTGCAACTTTTGCAACGCTTCATGTAAAGTGATTTATTTTGCCAAACTGACTATCTTCTTTAAAATCAGCTTTCGTCCAGCAATAATAGCTGGTTATAGTTCATGTTTTGCAAAAGAGGTTGATTCTGACTCATTATGTTGAACACTGTACCACACACAGCTGAATAAAGTTCTGGTGGATATCCAATTCCTGACTGTCAACTGTTGACCTCACAACTGCTTCCCCATTGATATCACCATCTGTTGTCATGGGAAAGATTGTCTGATATTTGGGTTAAATGCCACTGAAGTCACTCAATGTCCATGTGGAAAAATAACCCAAAGTACATTGCTCTGTGAGGTATGGAAGCTATTTTTTCCTAGAGGTAGGGAACAGAATATCCCAATAAAAGCAAAACAAAAACACCTCCCTGCAGGGAGTCCCTTATTTCTTCCTTCCCTCGGTAATTTATTTTCATTTCATGCATGAAATGTGTGTGTGTGTGTGTGTGTGTGTGTGTGTGTGTGTGTGTGTGTGTGTTAAAACAGCCCCTGGCTCAAGTGCCCCAACGCTATTCTTTGGGGGCTGCGGGAAGAGGGAAGAAATGTTCGAGGTTGTCCGATTTCGCTCTCATTGCACTGTCAGCCCTCATCCTCGGCGCTCCCAGCGCCTCTGATCACCGAGGGACCCTCGCCCTCCAGGGCGCCCGGGCGCCCGCTGCCCTGCGTCCTGCGAGCCCGGCCCGGGCACGGCTCCCGAAAGGCGCGCACGACCCCTTTTGACACTTCGCCTCCTCTGGGATGGAGCAACTACTTAGCATGCAAAGTTTTCTCCAGCCCGCCCCGCTCTCTCGAGATCATTGCAGTGGCTGAACTGGTTTCTTTTCGAAAAGAGTGCCAAGAGACACAAAATCATGGGGACGCATTTTGCTCCTTCCTCACAAGAACACAGACCTGGAGTCCCCTCTCTTGCAAGCTCTGACCCCTTTCCCGTCACTCCCTTCCTCGCCCCCTCTCTCCAGTCTCCCCAGATCCCAGCTCCTGTCCCCGGGCTCTGCGTTTTGGCGATCTTACCTTTTCTCTCTGCCACTGGGGCTTCGGGGGAGGATCCAATGATCAAACAGAGAAGCCAGAAAGCTCTAGCTGTCATTTTTGTAGACACGGTTCCCAGGCTCTAAAACTGAGCTTGGGCTTTTGCTTTCTTTCCCCCCCCCCCACCTTCTCCACACCCCCACCCCCGTTCATGCTAATGAGGGGCAGCCTTTGGGGAAACGAGAATCACTCACAGAACAGACCATTGGAACAAAACCGAGCTACAGGGATTTCTCGCACTTCCAAAGGGGTAGAGCACATGGCCTCTCAAAGTTGTCCCTGGGAATGTCTGTCCTGTGATCTGTGTGCAGTGATAAAGTCAAATCCTAAACTTTAAACCTGTTTGCGCGCTGGGGGGGTGGGGAGGACAGGGTGGAGTGACAAGTGGAGAGACTGAGGGTGTCGAGGGGCTGAGGGACGCTGAGGGACGGGCGGGCAAAGGGGGAGGATGAGCAATGGGAAGATTTTTCTGGATTAAGTCCACAACAAATAGGAAAATGAGTGTTTAAGACAACTTGAATTTGTGGAAGAGAGGGGATCCGAGATGACAGAAAATTCACCCCAGAATGTGCCGGGCAACTCCTATATCAAGTCACTATATCCTAGGTTTGGTAAAACAGTATTTCACTATATACACAGTACTTACACTGTAGAACTAGAAGGAAAAAGAGCCCTCAGCAAAATACTTTTTCTTCCCCGTTCTGCTCTTTTCTCTCTCAATAAAAATTGGTATTCATCTTTGGCTATGTATATTTTCACCAAAAAAAAAAAAAAAAAAGGTCGAGAAGGGAGGGGGTGCGGTTGTTAACCAATGTCATAAAACAATGTGTACTACTGTTTCATGAGAATCTGTTTGTTCTGTAAACCTTCACATGAAGTACAATAAAAATTTAAAAAAAAAAAGACTTAAAAAAAAATTGGTATGCAGTTAACCAGATTCATCAAGCCCATATTGAGTACTTTTTCCCTGCCAGGTGCTAGGTGCTAGGGGACAAAGATAAGTACATCACCCTCCCAGCTCTCTAGCTATGGCTCATCTGCTAGAGAAAGGTGGACCTTTTTTCCTTTCTAAGAAAAATAAACTCATTCTCTGCTTAGGTCTGAATTCTTGAGACAGCTCTGCATATTGGTTTTGAGCTAAGGGCTCTCTCTTCAATCAACCAGAAACAGCATTCACTAAAGGGGGAATAAGCTCGCTATAGTAAACCCACAGCCTTACCGATCTGAATCTCATTTCAACAGCTTCAAATTCAAAAGGAAGGGGAAATGCGTCGAGATGAAGGAGTTTTATCTGAAGCATATGAGTCAACAGTGAGATGCAGCTGCTAAAAGAAATAACAAACTTTTGCTGCACTAATATCTTATGTCTCAAAAATAATAGTCCTAGTGGACTGACCAGATTCTGGGGGGAAATCTTGTTTTCAGGAAAGGCACTCAAAAGCTAGAAGGACAATAGGGTTGTAAGAGGGCTGGACTCCATCATGTTCCAAGTTCCTTTTGGAGGAAGTGAGGACAGGCAGCCTGGGGAACACAAAAACATTCGCTACAGGCTGTGAAAGTACCAGTATGAGGATGTTTTGAAGTGACAGGTTTTTTGTTTTTATTATAGTAGGAAATGTATACGCATAATAAAAAATTGCCATCTTCACCATCTTTAAGTGTGCAATTCAGTGGCATTAGTTACATCCATCAGGTTGCGCAATCATAACCGCTAACTCATTTTCCCCTCCCCCACCTCCTGATAACCACTAATAAATTTCTGTCTCTATGCATTTGCCTTTTCTAGATACTTCATCTAAGTGGGATCATACAGTATTTGTCCCTTTGTGTCTGACTTATTTCACTTAGCATAATATTTTCAAGGTTCATCCATATCATAGCATGTGTCAGAATCTCATTTCTCTTTATGACTGAATAATATTCCATTGTATTCTGTACCACATTTTGTTTATCCATTCGTCTGTTGGTGGATAATTGGATTGTTTCCGTCTTTCGGCAATCGTGAATGGTGCTGCAATGAACATTGGTGTACAAGGATCTGAGTCCCTGTTTTCAAGTCTTGGGTATATACCTAGGCGTGGAATCGCTGGGTCATATGGTAATTCTATGTGTAACTTTTTGATGAAGTGACAAGTTTATTTCAACTTA